CCCATTGAATCGCTCTTGAATTAAATTATAGAGGTTTATAGAAGAAAACCGGTTCTCTCCGAATCCGGAAGAAACATATGTCGAACAAATGTTGCCGGATAATTCACTGACGTTCCGGCGGTTCTCATAAATATCGACGATCGCGGTTTCCGACATGAACCTTCTGCATCCGCATTTTTATATGACACACACACTTTGTATTCGCGCGAAAATGCGCGACATGCATTTTTCGCGAAAAAACAATCGCTGAGAGTAAAAAGGACGAAGCAAAATCATAGAAATGTTGTTAACGAAATGTTATGTTCACGTTTTCTTTACTTTTCTCTGCACCATCATCAAACTTTTCATTTTTTTAATTTAAATTGTAACATACTTCATCAATCTCCATTTACCTTCATCAATCTTCTATCGCTCGTAATGATTTATCATACTGTTATAAAACACTTAAATTTAAATTAAGCAAATTTTTATTTTACAATAACACACACAATAATGTTAGTCGATATTACTTTATTATTGTTGCGTGCTTATCCAAAAATCACGATTTCTTTATATGCATGAAGGCGTATGCCCAACTGTTTTAAAAGTGATGAGAAATGCAAGTAATTGAGTTTCTTATTAATGTACATAGTCTATAGTTCATCTAACACGCATTGACTACTGCCTTATTATATACATTATAGCCACATCGTGATTTGTCATTAATGTTCCGTGAAAGGTACGGATGGAATTTTTTACATAGTGGAAAATTAATGTTCACATGCTTTAAACGCATAAATTCTATTTAATTTGATTAAATTAACTTCAAAATAAAGACATAAAATGCAGTTTAAATTATTAATAAAATTATAAAAAAATATATAATAAAAATTTTCCCAATCTTTTGACGTTCATGATAGTTTTGATTTATCTTTTATACGTATCTAAATATTATTTAACACATAAATTATGAGTTTAACAAAAACGTTACGTACAGTAAGTGTAAAAAATATTTATACAGAGAAATATCTTTTTAAAAGATCTTATTTTTAGAAAGTAAACATTAATTAATAATTTATTAGCAAAAATAAAATAGATTGTACTCCTAAAAAATATTTTATCTAAAAAAGATGATTAAAATATATTATTCTAATCTTTAATAAGCAAAAATGAAAGTATTATTCGACAGTAAAGAGTATATATACAATGGAGAAATTTAACTTTTGATTGTAAGATTATAAACTGGCTTTTTTATAAAATTTTTTTCTTTATTTTTTAGGACAACATTCACGTTGTTAATAAATTGTTAATAAATGATAATTTTTTACAAATAAAGCTTTTTTATTTTCCCTGTGCGAATATATTTTTCATACATATTTTTTTTTACTGTATGTAAAATAATATTGTAAAGTAAATAATATTGTATAACTTTGGTTTAATTGATCATTTCTAACTTAATATTATTTTACACACACACACACACACACACACACAAATATTTATCTTGAAAATATGAAGCTAGAAGGAAAGCAGCACATGCCGTTATCTTCCATATTAAAATGTATATACAGGAAGATATATTTTAATTTAAAAGACGTGAGTAAAAATGACAGCGAAAACAGATCAAGTATATCACAATGAACGAAAGTCGTATCGAATGTAGGTTACACATTCGCTCACCTAACATTCGCCACTTCCTTTAGAGGCTTTCCTTCTCGTACGAAGTAAAAGTGCTGATGCGAGAGGCGTCGCGCGTGGCCGGCCGCTTTTGCACAACATTCTCATTCAAATCATCCAGCCGATTTCGCATTCCCGAGAACCATTGCTTTATTATTATCTCCCAAGTGGATCCTCCGATCAATCCGCCTACACCTTCTGTATGATCTCACGAGTCGTTTCTGCTTCCTGCGGTGATTATACTACGCCACAAGACGCAAACGAAGTGCGAAGATCATCGTATTTTTTTTTGTCGTGGGAATAAATCTCTTTCTGTGTTTGGACATAACACCGCGTGCGTTTTTTAATGAGACGTATGTTAGATAATCGGATTCTTTACACGCCAAGATGTATGGATTTGTGGACATTCTATTAACATAAAAAAAATACTGACAGTTCCAATACTACTTTTTATTATTCTATAGTTCCTTATAAAAATAAAAAAACGTTCTTTATTTTTTATGTGCAATTTTTATGTGAAAAAACTAAAATTAGCATGGCACATCTTCAATTATGACTTTTTAGTATAAAATATGTGGAATATTTTTGCATTTGCATTTTCATTAATTATTAATCATTAATAATTAATTATTGTCTTGTGCGAATGATGCGGAATTCATTCGATTTTATCGATCCTCGAAACATTTTTTACGAACATCATTATTCACCGACTTGTCCCATTGAAAAAATCCCGCATACTTATCACATAAATAGCTCATAATCTTATAAATAGCACTATTCGCAAATTATTCGCGTAGCGAAAATAATAAAGATTACGTTGAACAGATAGAATATCTTCTGTACATAAAAAAGATTTGTCTGTTGGTCTGAAATTTAAGATACTCAAAAAAGTAAACTTAAAATTGAAATAATAACATAAAATAAAAATTTTGTTATTTAAAATTATAGTAGAAATAAAAAGCAGAACATAATGTTCACAAATATAAGATAAAAGTGATAAAAATAATTAGAGATATATACATTTCTTTTAATATTTTTTATTTAAAATATAATATAATTTTTTTTTAAATTGTATGTTAATTATTCTCCCTAAACTGTGTTTATATAATAATAAAATAAGTATATTTTATGTTGTAATAACAAATTAGGTTTAGAAAAAAATTTATTCAATAAATTGTTGAATAATATCAATAAAGTATATTACGATAATGTATATATTATTTCTATTACTTTACCGATAGAGTTTGACGAGAAGAAATGATGTCATTTATTAATAGCTGGCCAACAGATGACGCCATCTTGGCAGATTCTCTGTGGTATATTATTGAATTTTTGGAATCATTCAAATAAATATACAATTGACAAATTCATTGACAAAAAAATGAAGGAAAAATATGAGATAATTATTATTCATATTTAATTAATGCTAATTTTTTAATTTTGATTTTTTATAAAATAATATTTTGTTTTATTATTATATAATATTATTTATATTTGTATTTAACAATAAAAACTTTATTGTAGAAATAATAATTATATTATGTGCATTTTTGAATTTTATATTTAAATATATGCTTTATATTTTTTTATAAAATTTATTTATTTAAAAAAAGTTATTATAAGATTTGTTTTATGTTATTATTAAGCAAATATAGTTTTTGCATGTAATATTATCTCAATTTCTTTTTTCAATTAATTTAATATTGGTGTCTGAATGACCTGAACTGGTTATCTATGATTGTACGTAGTCGTGTTAGCATCAGCTGCGGTGTCCGAGTGGTTAAGGAGTTGGACTCGAAATCCAATGGGCTTTGCCCGCACAGGTTCGAATCCTGTCCGCAGCGATCTTTTTTTTTATTAAATATTTTTTTCGTTTCTTTATATGCGACATTTATGTAATGTTAATATTAAAAATATTATAAAAATATGTATTATTTTAACATTATAAATTTTTATCGCTTGACACTCCGAATTGTTTCATATCGCGGAGCTTTTTATAATCTCGCATTATATATATTTAACATCAACCGGAGATTATTTTTTATCCTTAGCCCAAAAAATATAAAAAATTTTTTACATATAATTCTAATCGTTATATGTACATAAAATTGACTGCTTTTTCTAACAGTGTTTATTCTTATGTGAAAAATTGTTTATTAAATTGATGTAAGAATACATAAGATATTAGTTTCATAAGTCGTAGTTTTTTATCACATTTAAAACATTATCATGCCCGTTATCATTTCGATATAGACTATCTAGTAAAAATTTGTGATTCATATTACATATATAGGTTTTTAGAAATATTGTATATATCAGATTACAACTCATGTATTAACTACTTCTTTCTTAATATAGCTTACGGTACGTTTAACATTAATTAAAAATAATTTTTTTCATTTTCTCTTGGACAAAACTTATAAAAAATTTCTTACGCATTCTAGTTTCTAATATTTTTTATAATTCCTATAATTTCTATAATTTCTGTGTTATATGATTAAAACTGTGATGTAAGAACGTATAATATCCTTAGTATTCTTTCATTTCAATTAAAACAACGTTATTATATTGTTATTAACTTCCTTTTTGATATTGCTCATTACAATATCATCGTTTAACATCAATCGGGAATCATTTTTTATTTTTTGTCCAAAAATTATAAAAGAATTTTTTACAATAAATCTAATAATCTATAAACAAAGTTGAAACATTATTATTATTATATATGTAGCTTCCTTCTTAATCTTGTCTAAGATATATTTACATATAAATTGAGGATTATTTTTTTATTTTTTGACCAAAAATTATAAAAAAATTTCAGACGTTGTTTATTGTCGAAAAACTAATTTTAATCTTTAATTCTTTCTTTGCTTTTAATATTTTAATAAATTAGTTTTTATTTCTTGACCTAATTATTTGTTCGCTTCTGACTTCTTCATCACTTTTAACACATAAAAAATTTTTTATATATTTTAATAATTGTGATAGATAAAACAGATATTAAATTATAATATAATTTATTTTCAATTGACAAAAGATATTTTGGAGTAAATCCACGCGACAATGTGCAAAGATAATATCAATCCATATCAAAAAGAACACGTCGATATAAGATGAGTTCGATCTTTATGAACAAAAAATGATATAATGAAGATGTTGTAATATTTGTTAACATCCGGAATATTGAAGGTTATCACAAAATCATCTAACCATTTAGTCATCGGAACGAAATTCTGTGGCGCGATTCCTCGGAGAAGGAGATCGTCGTGCGCATAGGTTCCATCGTGATAAAGGCGTTATCTTAATTGACCTATGGCCCCACCACCCTCCCACAGATTCTTCGCTCTGTCATTCGCGTTATGTGTGGATCGACCCTCACGTCGACCTTCTTTCACTTGGCTATGAACCACCGACCATCGAAGATGAACCGGAATATCACTCTCGTTGCCGTCCTAATCCTGGCCCTGTCCACGGTCTACGCGGAAATAGTACATTGGACGTCATGTCCATCCAACTGTAAGTACATATACATCCCACTGTAAGTATATATATATATATATATATATA